TTTGAAAAGCCAAATTACTGTCGAAATGCCCTGAGGCATCATCGGGGTAGCACAAAACCACAACTCATATGGTCGAAATTACAAGGGATAAAGGAATATGGGGTATGCGAGACGAAATGAGTCTGAAAATTTGATAGCACCCCTCTCAAATGACTTTCAAAAATGCTCCTCTTTCTTATGTTTAAACAATTTTCACCTCTTCTTCACTTTATTGTCAAATAAAGATGATATTCTCTCGGCATACTATGCTAAAAGGCAAAACACGATCTTGGCCCTAAGTTCATGCAAAAAGTAAATCAGCTTCTCTGAAAAGACAAAGTCGGAAAAACACCGCCGATGCTCAAACAAGAAAAGAGTGATACTTTCGAGTGTCGCTCAGTTGAAAATCCAATTTTTTATCAACTTTTCGAACTACAAATAACCAATATTTCGCAACATCCACTTTTAAACAACTGTAACGATATTCTCGGCATATCATGCTAAAAGGCAAAACACGATCTCGGCCCTTCGTTCGTGCAAAAAGTACATAAGCTCTCTTCAGAAAAGGCAAAATTGGAAAAATTGCCGATGCCCGTACAAGAAAAAGTGATACTTTAGTGTCTCTCTGTAGAAAACCCAATTTTATAACAATTTGCCACAATACAAATATCTAATTCTTCGAGACCTTCACTCTTAAATGACTATGAGACATCAAAAACCAAAGCCCCTCCCCTCCCACACCCCCCTCTCTACCATTCGCACCCAATTTTTCGGAGGAGCAAATGTGGCTGGACACAGGCCCGAACGATAGCAAATGCCAATAGCAACCACTCGCTGTTAACACCGCTGAAAGCTCTTGTTTTCGACGATCAGTTAGAAGCAAAATGATGGTCAATTAAGAGCAAATCTGTATCAGTTGACCATCAAATGAGTTCAGCAAGAAAACAGCACAACATATTTAAGGTTAAAGAAAAAATATAAGAAAGAATGATGAAAAACATGAAAAGAATTATTAAAGTGAAACATGAAAATAATTATTAAAGAATTATTAAAGAATATCACTGCAGCAAAACCCGTTGTTTTTGATATGTACAGAACTACACTGAGATCAGTATCAAAACAAAAACGAATCGTAATTCACTGTCTACAGCACATGGTTCACTGAAGGAATGTCATAATTTGACGGTTCCATTTTGAATAGCGACAAATTTGGAGATCAATGTATTTGTCAAACCACGGCTGTATTCTTCCATTTCTATGACTTTCTGTAAAAGCTATCGGTAAAATTCGAGAGTCAAAAATAGTCACAACGGTTAATTTGCTGATTTCCATGAAAGCTTCATTTCCCACATTGATACAAGGTGACACAGTACGGCAATGGACGGTTTCGCCTTTGTAACCCTATAATTACACCTATTTCCCTCTTCCCACTAATTCTTAATACTTCGACCTACTTCCCTCCTCTTACTAACTTCTAACAATTCCACTAAATTCTAAATGTTTCCATATTATCTATCTTCCCACTCACCAAATAACTTGCCTTCCTTTTCCCTCCATTAATTTTCCCGACGTAGACCCCTTTCTGAGTCCCAGTCCTCAGTTTGTGGAAATCGTCAGTCAACAGCGCCATTCGACCGTCACGTCCAACGCTGCTAGTGTCTCGCCTCCCCATCGCCAGCGTTCTGTTGCACAGCTTGCGCGGTGCCCCGGCTCGTCGTTTTACGCGTCTTCCCGTTCGTCATTTGACGCGTCATCTTATTCGTCGTTTCCTCTGGAGTGAAGCGTTTACTGGAAGAATAAACTCCTGGTGTTTCTCCCCTGTCTCTCGCTGCTGCAGTCAAGGACCACGTGTGGGCTTAACACCTTTTCTTCACACCTTTGGAACTAAATCGACCACTGAAGAAGTTCGTGTAATTGTCGGTTTTGCAGTCAAAATCGTTTTCAGATTATTTCCCAAAACGTAATCGAAATGTTGCATCATGATTCCCTCCTAGGTAGGGTAAATGTATAATGGCGCGAAGCTGCCTATATATGAGGCCTCGCTGCTGTTTTTGTGTATGGTGTGTTATGTTGACAGCCCAGGCGATCACAAAGGACACGGATCCTTCTAGCCCGAATCATTAGCAAGGAATCGATGACCCAGCCGACGATCCAAGGGGGCACCGGAGCACCGAGCCAACGGACGAGAGCCCCAGAAATACCAAATCATTATTCCTTTACTTCACTTATTCGAAACTTCACTATCTATAGTATTCCTTTCCTGCCTAAAACCCGGAGACTTGGAAAACTTTATCCCAACGAATTTGAGCCACTGAAGAATTAAAAACTGGCCTTTTCAACTTTTTCCAGCTTCATTTGCATATCAGCAACAGCAGCATTTTCTTCGGCTGCTCTATCGCGGAAGTTATCGCGCTCTTCGAGCAGTGCATCAATAAGATCGGAAAGACCTTCGCCGGTTTTTTTCTTAGGCAGTATCATCGTGCAAAATTCAAACTAAAAACCCACAGTTCAAATTTCACTTGATACAGTTGCAAAGATCACCCAGCCATCTGTCCATTTCGAGTGTAATTCAAAAATTTTAAACATGCAAACAGTGAATATCTCTGGCTAGGAGATGCAAAGAATGAATATTTCTGGCTAGGGATTTTATCACTGTTAAACATTTTCGGAAGTATGAACACAAAAAATAGGAGGTAAGAAGAAACAAAGTACAATTAGTCCATCTAATGTGATAATGCGTTTTGCGCTAACTGGCAGACTGCACAACTCATCAATTCTGTATAATCCTTACCAGTTTTTTATGCGTTTTGTGCTGTGTAACAGCGTGACAAAACGCATACTGTCACGGGGTTGTCTGTGTGTGTGTTTGTGTGTGTGTGTGTTTGTGTGTGTGTCCCACATTTTGTCCCGCACTTTCAACTCGGGAACCAC